AAATAATTAAAATAATCAAAACTTATTTATATTATTTGAAGCTCATAACAGAGGATACTTGATATTTTAGTTACTTTTTTTTAATTCTAATTTTATTTTTTATTTATTATACATTTACAAAAATTTAAAATAAGTAAACTGAACAAATAATAAGTACTTAAATTATTTATTACAAATTTAAAAATATGAACTTTATTGAAAAAAAATTAAAATTTATATATTTATCGAACATTTAAAAAAAGATAAAATATTATAAAAACTAAATAAAAGAAATATATACAAATCATATATAGTTATTGAATACAAAGTATTTTATTTACAAATTACCACTTAATAATATATTATATATAGAAATATCATTTTATTTTATTATAAATAAATTTAATTTAACTTAAGTTAGTTTAGTTTAATTTATTTATATATATTATATTACTTCAATTCATACAAAAATATATTTAAAATTCATTTTATATTTAAATATCAAATAGTAATATATTGATTATTTAATTTTCATATTTAATTTTATTATATTTTATTTTAATTATATTTTCTATTATTACTTTATTTTGTGATTGTTTTATTTTTTATTTTTTGTTTGATTAAGATTTCTTGTGTTCTACAGTTTTAAATAAATATGTGTTAGATTTGTACCATATGATGATGGTGATAGAATGGTGTGAAGCCTTGTCTATTGGCCCTTCGGCCCAAGTTTGAATCTCAGGAGTAGCATTTTACTTTAATTTTGTCCAATAATTGGTATAAAAGCAAGGGGCAAAATAGTAAATTTTAATTTTAAAATAAAAGAATATATGAAAGAAATGAATAATTTTCGCATTACAGAAATGTGTACTACACGCGCAGTCAAGTTGGACGGAGAGGAGGGAAAACGTGCAAATTTCGTATAATACAGGGTGGTTATGTATATTTTACCCCATATTTACAGTAGGGTGCAACAGATTAAAATGTCAAGTTGCAGTATGGCAACCCACACATTCGTTCACCAAATCATATTAAACTGACAAATAGCAGTATGGCCACACACGAAATGTTTCATGCTACCAGTAAGGGTACTACCCATCATTAGCATCCACCAATAAAAATAAAACATGTGGCCATATTTTAACTATGCAAGTGCTAAAAGCACACCATATTTTGCTATAGGCAAAATCAAAAGAAAATGCTATTTAGAAAAATTATTTAGCAACTAAGTAAAGAAAAAATATTATGAGCGATCCACCAAGAATGTCAGAACAAATAGGAACACTCATAGAAATAATAAAAAAGACCCAAATAGAAACATTCGAAAAATTAGACGAAATAAAAGAAATAATAAAAGAACTACAAAATTTAGTACAAAAAAAAAATCACGGAAAAAATTATTTAAACCAATTCAATTAGAACCACCAACAAGTTCTAATGGATGATATAGATAGATTAACACAATTATTAGAAAAATGTAATATTGAAGAAACGAGAATGACAAAAATAGATGATGAGGATAAACAAGGAATAATCTATGGAATAGATAGTGAAGATGAAGATGAACCTACATTTAATATGACTGATCAAAAACCTCATACAACACCGCCATTATCACCAAAACGACCTAGAACATATAACAATGAAGCATCTAGTTCACAAAATAATTATGTAGAAAGCAATTTTAGAGATTTTATATATCGAAATGATTATAGTTATCATCAAGAAAAAATAAAGAAAAATATTCCACCAGCATATTTAGAAAAAGAAAGAAATTTATTTTTGTGTATTTAAAATTTATTATTATAATTTAAAAATATTAAATTTTTGTGTATTTAAAATTTATTATTATAATTTAAAAATATTAAATTTTTATTTTTATTGAGAATAAAATATAAAAATTATATTAAATGAGTGGATAATGGGTCCCACATATGTATTTAAATGAATTTGTATGAATGTTGGTGTGTGTTTAAATGGAGAGAGATTTAGTGGAAAGATGATGTAGATGAGCGAGAGTGTTACTTTTTGATTGAATGAATGGTATATGTGTTAAATGGATGTGGATGCCCTTACATTACCTCCAGCTGTGTAAGTGGTTGGGAAGAATCAACAAGAAATATGTGAGTTTCATTGGAATTCAATTAAAGCTTCTTCAGAAAAAAAATAAAATAAAATGTATTTTTATTGTCAAATAATTATTTTAACTGAATTACGAATGTATACAATTTTTAAACTCAAAATCCTCTACTCATCAATCAAGTCCTATGTATACGCTTCGGGTCCTATTTGACAAAATTTTATGTTTCTTCATTTGACTTGAATAACTTTTGAATTACTTACAATCCATAATATTAGGCTTAAAATTATCCATATATTTGATATTTATGACCATTTTTATAGCATGAATTGTGTTTTGATATAATTTCCTATTTTGGACGAAGTTTATAAGGAATGAATATTTTTGCCTCACTCTTTCTTTTTTCTCCTAATATATTTTTTTTAATTATAATGCATTTTACTAACTTAAATTGTAAATGTATTTTAAAAATTAACTTTTATATTTATTATCAATTTTTTATATATAGTATATAAAATCAATTATCTCTTCATTAGTTAAATAAACGAGCCTTAAATCGTTTGAACTCAGCTCATTTATCACTAATAACGAGCCGAGTTCGAGCTTAAATGGGTCGATCTCAAGATGTAATGAGCTGAACTATAAAAAATTATATAAAACTTCTCTTTTCGATCCTTAACGAGTCGAGCCGAGTTGAGCCGAGGTCAAGCCTTAACGAGCCAAGCTCGAATCGAGCTTTCCGAACTTTGACAGACTCGTTCAATTTAACAGCACAATGACATGAATATTTTCTTAGCAATGTTGTATATAGTCTTTTACTTGACCCGAGTTGTTTGGTTGGGGGAAAAAAGAGGGGAGGGAGGGAAGGAGAGGGCATTTTTTATTTTTCCCTTGTTTGGTTGGGAATTTGGGATAGGAGGAGAAGGAAAATTTTAACTTAAAATTCCTTCCACTCCTCATTTTTGCTCCCCTCCAAAAGTGGGGGAATTTAGAGGGGAGGAAAAATTTTAATGTATTAAATTACAATATTACCCTTTTTATATAATATGTAAATTTTTATTTATAACATCATTAAATAATATTTATCATTTTAATATTATTTTTCTTCCCCTTTCATTTTCTTACCAAACTTTCATTTTTCCTCAATTCCTCTCCAACAAAATCCCTACAAACAAAATAAAATTATTTTAAACCACCTTCCTTCCCCTCCCTCTCCCTTCCTTAAAATCCCTCCCCTCCCTTCCACTACATTGAACAACACAGACCCTTAAATGATTAAATCCAATCACTTCATCGAATTTGGAAATGGAAGAACGGCCCCGTAAAACCAACGGCCGCCACTCGGAGGAAGCGTTCTTCCGATGCGCCGGCGTAGTCCTCCCGTACCTTACCCCCGCCGAGCTAGCCTCTGTTTCCCAAACCTGCAAAGTCCTTCACCAAATCTCCCAACTCGTGACATCGCGAAGAATCTGCGACGCCTCCAGAGGGTTCGAAAACCTTCCGATCCCATTCCTCAACCCCATCGCCGGCGACTCACAGCCCTACTCCTCCTTCCTCTACGCACCCACCCAAATCCTCCGCCTAGGCCCAGATTCCCGCCAGTCCTGGGGCTACGACGGCGATGCCAGGTTACTCGGGGAACATAGTCGGGCCGACCCGTTCCTGTTCCTGGTCGGCGGCGCCACTGGTTGCGAATGCAAATCGGACTGCGGCGACGGTTGTCCATGCTTGGATTCCGGCGGATTTTCGCTGACCAGGGAATGCGGGCCGATCTGCGAGTGTGACTCGGCTTGTGGGAATCGGGCGACTCAGTTAGGGTTGTCAGTGAAGTTGAAGATAGTGAAAGATGAGAAGAAAGGGTGGGGATTGTTTGCGGATCAGCTGATTCCTTGTGGGCAGTTCATCTGCGAGTATACAGGTAATCGATTTCTGGTGAACCCCTCTTTTTTCTTATCACATAGAGAATTTTATGTGAAAGCCCTTGATTTCCAGTTTTTCAAGATTATATAACTAGTGCATATCTTTAGTAATGAGATGATATATGCTGCATCTTTAACATATGGATTATTGCTATTCGAAAAGGCGAACTTCTGTCGACAGAGGAAGCAAGACAGAGGCAGGACACATACGACAAACTCAAACCAAACGGGCATTTAACGCCTGCCCTTCTTGTCGTGAAAGAGCACCTTCCTTCAGGAAATGTGTGCATGAGAATCAACATTGACGCCACACGAGCTGGAAATGTGGCTCGGTTTATCAACCACTCGTGTGAAGGTGGAAATCTCGACACAAAGATTGTGAGGAGCTCGGGAGCTTTACTCCCCCGTGTGTGCTTCTTCTCGTCTAGAGATATTCCGAAAGGTGAGGAGCTTACTTTTAGCTATGGGGATGTCCGGGTGAAGCTGGATGGCCGTCCTTGCTTTTGTGGCAGTGTTCGTTGTGCTGGGATACTGCCTTCCGAACATACTTGATCATGGAGAGGTAAGAATGTGCTATCCGATACTTGTAATATATATTTCTTGATTTATTTATTGTGTTGTGAATTTGCAATGAGGGAAATGTAGGAACTTCGGGTCAGGATAGTTTTAACCTTAGTACTCGAGCTATCTATACTGCTACTGCACTTTTAGACTTTCGGTACCTTCATAGTTTCACTTTCAGGTCATATCAATTTGGGCACCCATGGTTTTCATTTTACGTAACAGTTGCGAATTTGTCTTCCAAACATTTTGCCCTTTTAATTCTGTTACATATGGAATGATTTGAAACTGAAGCAGAATTTTGTTTTTATTAATGAAAAACATTTGACAGTGTGGCCAAATTGATCAAGGAAAACATGGGATACCAAATTTGATATGGCATGACAATGGGTTATGGAAGTGGAAAACAGATTAGGTGCTGATATGTGAAAAAATTGTCCCAAAATAATTCACTGCTGGAGAAAATTGTGTTGTTTATACATTGAGCAAGAAATTTGTCCCAAAATTAATTCACGGTTGGAGAAAATTGTGTTGTTTATACATTTGAGCCGAAAATTTCATGCAGAAACCATGACATTTGTAAAATTTTTCATAACAATGGTCCAATGAAGCAATGACTAACCTATGTGTATATGTATTCCCGTAAAATTTCTTCCCCACATCCGTATCATCAGGTGAAGGTGAGGAAAGAAATAAGAGCATCTTTAAGGGCAACTTTAGCAAGGGGGGTTTGGCATGAGGTTTACAAACCCACTCCTACAGGTTTTAGGCTTTACGGTTTGAGGCTTATGTTTTTACACAAGATTTGCAAATTCAAACCCATCATAAATCTCAATAAAAGAATATTGTAATATAAATTTAATTGGTAAAAATGTAGGTTGCACTTCACTTTCTATGGGTAAATGAAGAGGCGTAAATAATTAGGTGTGCCAGGGCGTTAGGTGAAACGCACTTCCTAGGTGCGTGAATTCATTTCAAGATTTTGTCCTAACAACGGGCAGAGTAGGTAAGAGAAAGGTAAAATGCGGTAAAAAGGTGTAGGTAAAAGTAACCTATGCACGATATTCAAGGCGAAAAATTCCTTTCTCCCGCCTCCATCTCAATACCAAGAAATCCTTTCTTGATTTGTAGCTGCAAAAAATAACTTTCCGAAACTATGGTGATATTCGAAGATGAAGACGCAGTTGGGTCTTGTAATCCGGGTGAAATTTCTTTATTTGAAGATGCAAGTGAAGATTTTAACATGTCAGATAAATTCAACGATAAAACGCAGTAATATCCATATTTTCAGGTGTCTTCTCTCCTCTCTCTTCTTCATTCACGGCAGCTTCTCCTTCTTGTTCCTTATTTTCAGGAACATTCTCTCCTATCTCTTCTTCATTTCGTGAAGCTTCTTCTTCCTGTTCCTTATTTTCAGGAACATTCTCTCATATTTCTTCTTCATTCCCTGCAGCTTTCCTGTCCTTTTCCTATTACTGTCTGCCTCATCATCCTCCCCAAATTCATTCTGAATATCTTTCAAAATCGATTGAATTCCTTCACAAATAGAATGAATATATTTCAGACCCAAATGAATACGTCATACAATCAGATGAACATGTTTAAGATGATAAAATGAACATGTTAAATAAAGAGATGAACATGTTTAAGAACGAAATGAATAGGTTACCTGCATCTTGTTCCTGTCCATCAATGCCCGTTTCATCCTCCTCTTCTTCATATAAAACAATCTGCTCCACATCCAATGTTGTTGGTTCATTTTTTTGCACCACATCATCATCTCCTTTAACTTCTTCATTCCCAGCATCTTCCCGTTCCTCTTCCTCATTTTTGTCTGCCTCAGGTGCATCTTGTGGTTCATGTGGGTGATCAACATTTACTGATTCATCCAATGTTGTATCATTTTGTTGCACCAGACCTTCTACTATTTTCATCAGATTTGCTACATATCCTTGAATTGTCTTCTGAAACAGGCTGGCAGCACTCATCTTTGAGCTCTTTGCCATTTCAAACACCTCTCCAAGTTCAGTTAGCATTGGTACCATTTTCTTCATTATATTTTCAAACCTTTCAACCAGATCTTCTTGCTGAATTGTGTTCTTATTTTTAGAAAATAACAAACTTTAGTGCTTGATCAAATTGGCTGTATGAATAAACTTGTATGAGATGAAGCTGTTATATTATTATATGAACATGATGCATGATGATATGAACATGTTGGATAATGAGATGAATATGTTGAATAATGTGATGAATATGTTGGATAATGAGATGAACATGTTGTATAAAGGGATGAACATGTTTCAGAATGAAGATGAACATGTTATATTATATTGTGAACATGTTTTATTGTAAGATGTACATGTTGTAAAAAGATCTGAACAAGTATCAGAATGAGATGAATATGTTTCATAATGAGATGAAGATATTATAATATGAGATGAACATGTTTCATAATGAGATGAAGATGTTGTAATATGAGATGAACATATTTCATAATGAGATGAAGATGTTGTAATATGAGATGAACATGATATCATGAATTTACCTCGGCCACATCTTTTATAGATGGTTGATGTGCTCCTTCTCTTGGTGGTGTAATGGGATCAAGTATGAACCCAATCTCAAACCCCTGTCCACGCTGCTCTTCGCTGACTCTTTTGGCAATTGTTTTCATTGTCCAATTAGCTATGACAGGGATTCTGAAAAGTGAGTGGACCATTAAAATGGCCATTTCTACCAGATTCATTCCATAACTTCACAGATTCTGAAAGACCTTGCAAAACATACTGGCATCAGTCGTAATTTATGATCTCTGATGATTTAAGCAATCTGAACTTGCAGTCTTGGCCCCTATTTTTCCACAGAAATAGTGACACCACAGCTATCATAAAAATTCTCTTGAATTCATCTCCATAAACCCTTGTAGTATGTCCTCTTTCTGTGTCATTTCCAGTTACATACTGGACCAATTTTTTGGCTGTTGGAGCTCCAGCTGCTCTCTTTAAACCAAAAGCCTCCCTAAAATCCCCAAGGATCTGATTATATTCTTCATCCTTATCATACCAATCTCCTTCGATCACCTCTTTACTTCCTCTTGGTTGGCCCAAAACTGGCTCAACATCTGCTGCGGTTATGTTCATCTCTCTATTACCGGGCAGAATCAGAGTGTTACTGGCATACCTGTTCAACAATAAGATTAACATGTGATATAATGTGATGTACATGTATTATATTGAGATGTACGTGTTTAATAATACAATGAACATGTTATAGAATGAAATTAACATGTTGTACATTATAATGAAAATCAAATTGCACAAATTACTTGTAATTTTTCACCAAGAAATAACACAGATTTGTTTGCGACATTTGCTTAATCTTTATGCCCAGAAGATGACCAAAATCAATACTCTTTACCTTCTCTTTTTGTTGGTCATCCAAATCATTGAAGAATTTGTACAAAGTTTGAGGGGAAACTCTATTTAAGAATCCCCTTCCTCATTTATTTCAGAGGATCTTTTTGGCTTCTTTCCTTCTTTTCACATTTTCAGTTTTCCTTTTTCTACAAAAATAATACCATGAATATGTTACAGTATGAAATGAACATGTTTAAAAAAAAAATGAACATCTTTACATTCTATATGACATGTTGTCTGAACTTTTCCAAAACAGGAAGAATGAGCACCTATTTAATATATGACAATATTTCAGTATGATATGAACATGTTTAATTTTAGAATGAACATGTTTAAATACAAAATGAACATTCTGTATGACATGTTCTCTGAATTTTTCCAAAACAGGAAGAATAAACACCTATTTAATATATGACAATGTTTCAGTATGATATGAACATGTTTAATTTTAGAATGAACATGTTTAAATACAAAATGAACATGTCTACATTCTATATGACATGTTCTCTGAAATGTTTCATATCATATAGAATGTAGACATGTTCATTTTGTATTTAAACATATTCATTCTAAAATTAAACATGTTCATATCATACTGATATATTGTCATATATTAAATAGGTGCTCATTCTTCATGTTTTGGAAAAGTTCAGAGAACATGTCGTATAGAATGTAGAGATGTTCATTTTGTTTTTAAACATGTTCATTTTAAAGTTAAACATATTCATATCATACTGTAACAGGTCCATGATATTATTTTTGTAGAAAAAGGAAAACTGAAAATGTGAAAGAACAAAAAGAAGGAAAAAAGCCAAAAAGATCCTCTGAAATAAATGAAGAAGGAGATTCTTAAATAGAGTTCCCCTCAAGTTTTGTGCAAATTCTTCAATTGATGTGGCATCTCAGACATCTCGAGGAGGAAAGAAAGCTAGAATATCTGATATTGGAGATCACACTTCTGGCTCTGGACAAGATGTCGAGCCTAATGCTGATGGTGAGGACAAATATGTGCGTTGACCAATTGGCCACAAAGCAACAAAGGTAGGGAAGAGAAAGGGAAAAACAACTGCAAGAGGGAGCACCGGTCCAGATGTTGAGTCTGCAAGAAAGAAAATGATTTGGAAAAGCTAGCTCGTATAGTCATATAAGACGTACAAAGAAATGATAAAGGAGGATACTTCAACCATGACAGAAGAAGATTTGCAAGCCCACCAGGGACTTCTTGCTGTGCTCAGAAAAGAATTTGGTCTTAAATGATTTTTTTTATGTTGTTTGGTGTTTTTAGTGTTCTATAATTTAAATTGTTATGCATTGTTTATCTAAGTTATTATGTATTGTGTTAAATTTTACGAGTGTGAGCACTGTTTGTTGGCGTTTGTTATACTTTGAAAAAAACTCGTGTTCACTTGTTTTTTAACAACACATCTAACTCGTTGTTATACCATACAATTAAACTCATTTTTTTTTTCGAAACTAAAATAATTCCAATTATATTTTAACAATAATATCATACTTTTACTTCTATCTTGTTCAATGAATGTTTGTTGGCGTTCTACTTTGAAAAAAGTTCGTTTTCACTTGTTTTTCAACACATCTAACTCGTTCTTATACCATACAACTATATTCAAATTTTTATCAGAGACTAAAATAATGTCAGTTTTATTTTATCGGAAATTATATAAATATTATCAGTCAGTACAATGTTTATATTGTTGGTTCACCAACCACATTTAATTCATTATCCACTATAAACTTTCCAACCACCACATTAATACCTAACACACCACTACAACATAATATCTATCACATTACTACTTAACACACCACACTTACCACCTACTACACCACCCATGTCACCTATTACAATAATACCTAACACAACTACTTCCCACTATAAATAATATAGTATCATCAATTCCACAACCACATACAAAAATCTCTTTCAATTTCTTGTTGATTCTTTCTCCTCATTTTTTGTCAATTTTTACAAATATAAATATTTTTCATTTCGCTAAAATGGCTAGCCGAAAGAAGTTTTCGTATGTGGTTGTGCAATTGATGATGTTGTACTATTTATAGTCAGAAGGTGTTGTGTTAGGTTAGCTTGTGTTAGGTATTATGGTAGTAGATGGCATGTGTGGTGTAGTAGGTGACAAGTGTGGTGTATTAAGTATTAATGTGGTATGTATTATGTTGTAGTGGTGTGTTAGGTATTAATGCGGTGAGTGGAAAGTGTATAGTGGGTGATGAATTAAATGTGGTTGGTGAACCAATAATATAAGCATTGCACCACATGACAATATGTATATGATTTTCGGTAAAATAAAATTGGCTTTATTTTAGTCTCGGAAAAAAAATTGAATTTAATTGTATAAGAACGAGTTAGATATGTTGTCGAAAAACAACAAGTGAAACGAGCTTTTTTCAAAGTAGAACGAACGCCAAGAAACATTTATCGAACAAGATAGAAGTAAAAGTATGTTATTTTTGTTAAAATATAATTGGAATTATTTTAGTTTTGAAAAAAAAAAATTAATTGCATGGTGTAACAACGTGTTAGATGTGTTGTTAAAAAATAAGTGAAAACGAGCTTTTTACAAAGTAGCAAAAATGCCAACAAACATTGCTCACACTCATAAAATTTAACACAATATATAATACTTTAGATAAACAA